AATTCAAGCACCTTAAAACACCCTACTTCTGATCAATCTCCCTGCAAATTAACATAATAGTGTTGCCCAATATCTCAGTCCATCCCTTTATAACTGCATAAATTAGGCATGCTATGGTTGTTAAATATAATTATTTACACTTCCTTGTTCTTTGTTTATGTGAAAATGTCTTTTCTCTTAGTTTTGGAAGATAGTTTTGACAAGTAGACAACACTAGGTAGACTTTTTTTTCCCCCCTTCAAAACTGTGAACAGTATTCTTCTCTCTTCTGGTTTCCAGTATTGCTGATAAAAATCTGCTATTAACCAAAAACTGTTTCCTGAATAGCTGAGCTGTTGTTTCTCTTTAACTGCTCTAAGGAATCTCTCTGCCTTGGCATTATAACTTTTACTACAACAGTCTATGACTGAATTTATTTGCATACAGATTGTCCTCCACTTACGATGACTTGACTTACAATCTTTCAAACTTTTAGGATGGTGCAAAAGCCATAAGCATTCAGTACAAACTGTACTTTGCATTTTTAATTTGGATCTTTTCCTGGGGTGATGATACACAGGATATGTGATACAATGGTGCTGGGCTCAGCCGGGTGCCCCAGCTTCCAGTCATCCATGTGACCATGAGAAGAAACAACCAATAAAGTTGCACCCATTCTGTACCCAACCATTCTGGTTTTCACTTTCAATACAATAGTCAATGAATTACATAAAATATTCATCATTTCATTACAAAACAGGCTTTATACTGGGCTTCCCAGGTGGTTCAGTGGTAAAGAATCCACCTGCCAATGGAGGAAAAACAGGTTCAAACCCTGGATTTGGAAGATCCCCAGGAGAAGGAAATGGCAACTCACTCCAGTATTCTTTCTTGGGAAATCCCATGCGCACAGGAGCCTGGTGGGCTAGAGTCCATGGGGTTGCAAAGTGTCAGGCACAATTTAGTGACTGAACAACAACAAGACCCATCAAAAGTCAAATCTAAGTATATGCTTAGTATATGGTATCCTACTTTGCATCGGTATTTATGTTTTTCATCAGTGTTAAAAACTCTTCTGCCATTATCTCCACAAATATTGATTGCCTATCTTCCATTCGATATTATTTTCTTCTGGGACTCTAATTAGATTCATGTTAGAACATCTTGTATTTTCATATCTTAATAGCCACCATTGATATTTTCCATCCCTTTCCCCTCCCTTAAAGTATTCTGGCTAATACCTCCAGATTTAACTTTTGATTAACTCATTTGCTCTCGTTCATTTGCCGATCTGTTACTTCTCCTATCCATATGATTTAAACTTCAGTAATTATATTGTTCACTCAAAAATGCTTTTGTTTCTTTCTTTAATATCCCTGGCTATTTATAGTTTCATGTAGCTTGATCAATTTATAAGTGCAATTTTCATTTATTTAAACATTCATTAATTATTATTTTCTCAATGAAAACTGTTGATCGGAAGTTTCTGGGTATCTAAAGCTATTATTTCCATTTTCTACAGATTTCACATGTAACAATTTAAAGCCTTGCCTGTATAGTGAACAGTTATAATGGAGAGCTCACATGAGGTTTATCTTAGGCCATCCAAAACATGGAAGTGAAAACTGGAGTATCTTGCTAGAGACAAATTTGTGTTTACCTCTGACAGGACTCAAGAAGAAGGCAGTAATATAGAATCATGTTAGTCACCTTCATGATGCCAGCTTACAGTGAAACCCTTGAATTCAACACCCTCGCTCTGCCAGTGATCACAGGGTTAGTCTCAATATGACTGCAATGTCAATGTCAGTATTTGCCCTCTGTACAAACTTGCATTGCAGACTTGCTCTCCCCAGACTGGGTTTAGCTCCCTTTTGGTGAAGGAGAGAAAAGAAAAATTTCAGAAACTTCTCCTAATTCACAGAAGTCTAACATGTTACTAAGAAGTATGTTTTATCTGGTATAGTTGCTTTGTAAGGATATATTCCTCCTATAACACCAGAAGCATTAAATTGTAACACTGAAAATTCGGAAGAAGAAAATAAGTCAATTAGAGAAATGGGCAGGCTGGTAAATGAAATAATACATAATAAAAGAAATAGAGTATGAGAAACAAATTCAAAGAGTGGAACATAACTTTGTCATGATGTGAAGTATGGGAGATCATAAGTAAATATAAAACATAAAGAAAGGAGAATTGGTCAAATTTCACTTACTAACTGGATAATGTTGGCAGTTCAACTCAGGTTAAACCTGGTTCTTTGGGAAAAAGCCCGTGGGATGAAATCCTCACTGAGGTTTTTCTCTGATAGCTTTATATCAACTCTCTTGCTTCTCAGCTATAGTTATTTCATAGCTACATCATTTCACACATTGTATAGCTTTCCATTTATACTATCTTTTTACTACATTGGAAGTCTTGTATATAAAGTACTCAAAAGCTTAGAATATTCCACAGTAATAACAGAATTATGGTAAAAGTTTCCCAACATGAATAATATGAATAAATATAAATTTAACTAGAAACTGTTATAATGTGGTAAATTTGTCTCCTCTTATAGTATCTCCAAAATTAGCATTTTGGGAAAGTGCTTTGATAGCAGATAATGTTTTCAACATTCATGTGACTACTTCTTTTTATATCCCTGGAGCCTCCAATGTCCAACTTTCAGTAGAGTTTCTTTATACTTCTTTTTGTTTGTTTGTTTTTTCTCTCTTCATACTTCTTACTGAGCTATGACTACTGAAACTGTAAGTCTCCACATTTAGAATATTTCTGTAAGAACTCTGATTAGAGATAAACTACTCAGCACCCTAAAGGACCTAGGACCACACAAACTACACTAGGTTTTAAAAATAAGTGCATGAGTATTGTAATGTTTTAGAGACAAGGGGTGCTAATTTTGTTTTAATCTAATAAACACTGAGAGGTTGATTTACATTCAAAATAGAGTATCATTTTGTGAGTCCTCAGAAGGGTTCCAAGACCATTCAATAATCAAAGGTTAAACTAAAACTCACTATGGAGATTTTGACTCATTCATAACTACTGTGAAGGCAAAATCTCACTGGGATTTCATCTATTTAAATACTCAGTGAGTACCTATCACTCCTCCAGGCACTACGCTAAATCGTGCAGAGACAACAGTGAACAAAACAGAGACTGGTCTCTGGAGCTCACTTTCATTACTGAATATTAACTAAACTCAGATTATTCAATAATATTCTTATTCATATTTTATTTCTTAGGAGATTTTTGTCTATTTAACCAAAACATGGAATCACTATTTTTCCAGCCAAGTTTTCAAGCAGTGGTCTCACTTTCCTCAAAAAAAGTCACTCATTCAAGGGATCAGATATCTACATATATCTGTGTGTGTGTTTGTGTGTATATTAGCTAATATCTTCATGATTTAAAAAAGCCTCCTCCTTCAAAAAAAAAAAAAAAAGAATGAGTTATCTAATTTTTGTATCACTTAAGAAATGTATATGCACAGTATGTATACTAACGGCTGGGAAGAAAGCTAACGTCTGCCTGCCCCAGAAATAAATTAGCATGCAGCTAACATCAAAAGAGCCAAAAACACTCACTGCAAGTGTGAACACATATTTGATTGCAGGACTGTGTCTTTCCCAGGTCTGACCTTATAAATTAAACAGTGTAAATCTCAAGGAAGTGTTTTCTGAACATTTAGATTCACTGTGAACATTAGGATGCCCTTCAAATTAACATCTAACATTATTAGCCTATTGTTGGACATAAACTGCTTCATTACTGGTGACTGAGAAAACATATACACCCTGGTACGAACACACAACTTATAAAAGAATGGGAGGAACTATTCAAAATCTCGGGATGTGAACATTCAAATAACAATTTTTTAACTAGGATATTGAATCTGCATATGGAAAAGCTCTTGCAAATAGTAAATAAAGCTCTTTACTTTGATGCTTAGAAGCACAACAACAAGAAAATACCCAGTACTTGGGAAGTAATATCTGAATGCACTATACTACAAAGATTTTGTGGAACTAATTCCTACTTATAACCCAGTCTCAGTTTAAATACCCCTTCCTAGCAGAGACATTTCCTCCTTTATCATACTGGGCTATGTTGTCATTATATCCAAATGCAGTGGTCTCCACTTCATCTTTTCTGAAACTCTTCACTCTTACAATGAGCTGCTAAGATCTTCCCTACTAAACCATAAGTTCCATAAGGGCACCATCTATGTTTATCTTCTTTTCCCTTTTATAATCAATGTCTTGGCAATACGTATATTTTTGGAGTAAGCTAGTTAAGGAATGGATACATAAATAAAGACATGAATTCTAAATCATCTCTAAAAAGTAAGAAAGATTAATTGGAAAAGTTACTGTCTACAATGAGAACAGGATGAAAGGAGAAGGGAAACATTAATACACCCTACATCTATTTAAGAATCCGAAACACTTAAGCAGCTTTACTCATTCAGAGTGTAGAGAAACCCAATTCTCACCTTCAGACTACCGTCTGTATGCAAAACAAGGATGTTGCTTAGTTTTTTTTAAGCTAGAAGAATGTCTGATTTCATTTGAAAAGCAAAACAAGCAATATGTTCTCAAGTGAATTGTTTTCCAGCTGGAATAGAGAATAGAACCTATTACGGTGGCATCTTTCATTTGGAAGCTGCTCCATGAAAAATCATGGGATATGGGGTCACACTCAGCAAGGGCAAATCAACAAATTGTGGTAAACCCATCAGCATTATCAGCATCATTGTGAATTTTAAAATATATTCAGTAGCTGGTATAAAACAGGTATGAAACATAAATCTAAACAGTCTGAAATAAGTGACTCAATTAAAATCTAGGGTTATCATGTCTAGCAATATGAAATCTGCAGTTCTATGATCTTATAGAACATAATCTTGTTCCATAACTTCCCAGGTCACCACAATCACTCCCTACAATTCTTGAGTCAGCTCTCTGGATAATTTCTATCACTTTCTCCTATGTCGTCCCCCCCACCCATGGCTTACCTGTAGTGTCGGGAAATCTCTTCTTCCACCTGGGTAATGAAATCACATTTGGTACATGAGTGTTCTTTGCTTTCCTTGACAGCCGGCTGCCCGTCTGGCCCTTGCAGGTGGCTGCCTTCCTGTTTGACGTCCGAGGCCTGGGACTCGTGCATGCTCTCATAATGGAAGAGGAGCACATCCACGTCGGGGGTGCTGAACGAGCACTGGTGGCACTGGTGCTTGACTCGCGAGCTTCCAGCCGCCCCAGGAGACAAGTGCAAGAGCAGGAGCGCGCAGTGGGAACAATTACTCTTCCTACAAGCGAACGGATAAGTAATTTCTCCAAGGTGCTTTTCTGGGCTGCAAAGGCCTCTGGGACAGAAGGGACAGTGTTTAATGGTACACTTATGAATGTTATGGAGCTGCTGATAATGACGAAGAAGTGGCCCCACCACGATGACGTCGGGGCCATGGCTCTTGGAGTATCGAAAGTCACAGAACTGACAGTTGTAGCTGGTGACCATGTTATCCTCTGCCCCCTTGCTGGAGAAGTCCTTCTTCTTCACCCCACTAGAGCCCTTGTCTGCCTTGGTCATTGGCTCCCCGTCTGCACTTTTGGGTAGATCATTCTGATTAATGACAGAGCCCCTGGAAAGCTTATCATTCAATTCTGGATTAAGGCCGCCTGACTGCGCTCCGCCATGCTGCTTGCTGTAATGTTCTAGCAGTTTCAGTGAGCTCGAGGACTCACAGCTGAAGCTACAAAACTTACACCAGTAGTAACTGGTGGCCTCGGTACCATTTTGTCTTGAGTCAAGGGGCTTGATGGGGACTGAGTAACCAACGGGTGTGTCATCTCCCGCCTTGACTGTGATCTTGTCCTGCCATTTGCCCAGGTCTCCAGCATCACCAGACCGGACGGCTGGGATGCATTTGTTAGAGTTTTTCTCTGAAGGTTTTGCACCCTCAGAGGAGGGGAGAGAAGCTTTTATTTTGTTCGGGTGAGTCTGAAGAAAATGTTGTTCTAGTTCTGTTGATGAGTTGCCCATGTAAGTGAAATTGCAGAATTTACAGCGGAAATACTTGGTGTTTCCTTGGCAATCTGGTGTCTTCCGGCCAATGCCAATGAATGTTCCACCTGAAGTGACCTGGCAGAGAAGACATGGATGTTACTTTAAAGGTATCATTAATTCAGTGTTCTCTGTAGGCGGGTGGAGGCGACACTGCCGGGTATTCTACATCAAAAAATACAATAGTGCTTCTGCTTATGATGAAATCACTTGAATAATTAGAGCCAAAGAAATTCACTCTTCATTACTCAATAGCCACTCTCTGAGAGGCTCATTATGTTAAACATTTTTGGCCAAAGTATCAGATGAAGGTAAGTAATAAAAGTACTATAACAAATTCAAAGGATTTAATAATATATACTTTTAAACAAAAGACTAAGAAGATGACTTTCAATTAGAGGTTTTACGACTGCCTCCTTCAAATCCCGCAGAAGCATCCAAATCACTGGGGATTTCTTGTCACAAAGCTAAGGGTTGCTGTCAAAACCAGAGGCAATTGCTCAGAAATTACTCAATGCAGGCGCTCTCCAAGGAAATCCTCTGTTCAGTTCCTACGGCAATGAGGCTGCAAAGATGAAGTCTATCTTCCGGGTAAAATAAAAGTGCTAAATGACCACACAAAATGGTTCATGGTTAAAGCCCAAGTACGCAGTTAGACTGAAAGAAAAACGAAATCTCTGGGCTTGAAATCTTGGTGAAGGAGGACTAAGGTAAGGAATTTAATAAAATGTTTCCCAATCTAGAACAAATAAAATGAAGAAAAGCTTCATGAGCCTTATTTGATGAAGGCTCTGTCTCATAGCAAAGACTCAGCTGCTCTGATGAGCTGGTCATGGGGATAGTCAAGGACTAAAATAAAATAATTCCACCATAAAAATCACAACAGCTTGGTCTCTTATCCAAAATTTAAAAAATTGTATACAGTGCTAGGGCAACCACAGCCTTCAAAGGGCATTTTCTATAAAACTCTTCTCTGGGTATACCACACCAGGTGGCTCAACTGGGTGCAAGCACCCAGCAGTCAAAATTCATGGTTCAAAAGAGTTTTGACAGAACTGGTCCAAAGGGGGAGAAATTTCCTTTTTTAACAATCAGGGGAATTTTTAAAAATTTTCCAGCAACCAGATGTAACAGATTAAGCACGTGGCATAATTGTGTTCTTCCTTCTTTCACAGCTGCTCAAAAATGACATGTGTGATCACTGCTCATATCCAATTCACTCCATGAGAAAAAGTCTCAAGCATCTCAAAATCATTTAAAAGATTCTACTTAACATGCAAATAATATTCCTTTAGCACACTGAGAGACGTGGCTGTACACTACTCTACAGGACCAAGACAGAAGTCCATCTGCCACTTAAAGAGGGGTGTGACCTGGACAGAATGACTTAACCCCTCTGGCAACAGCTTCCTCCCTGGGGGCAACCTTTAAACTTACTTCCAATATTACAGTTTGAAAAATGTGCATGAACACACCAACAGCTCAACATTTACTGTACATTAAGATAATAAATTACAAAGGACTCCCACAGTCCTTAATCGAAGATGACAACATTTCACTCTAGACAATGTCTAAATTTACCATGGCAAGCCCCCAGATCGCAGTCTGTTGGCAGCACAGCATCATCTAATCAGAAGGGCAGGACTGGGGGCACCATCCCAGGCAGCAACCTGACAATTAATCACTGGTGTAAAAGATGTCAAGGCCAGACCACACAAGATAAGTCTAATCACCGCTCTAACCTAGCATTTTAGAAACCAAAGCAAATAAAACTTGCAGTGAAATGTAATGTGTAACACTGTAAAATTCCTCCATTTTCTAATTCACTAGAAATGAGAAGATCCTTGCTTTCAAAATCAAAATGAAAGCTTTCAACGGCATGGCACCTACTCAGGTACTTGGTTCAGGCACTTCAATTTGAATCGAAAGGCACAAATTCATAATTATTCCCATCTTCTCTAATGTAGGCAAAGAAAGCCAGTGTACAAGCTCTAAAGATGGAAATATGCTTCTCTGGGCTACCATGTTTCTTCAGAGTTGCCGAGTTCCCCTAACAGAAAATGTTTTGAACTATTGCTTGTAGAACAAGGATTCCTGAGAAACCACGACACATCATCACTATTTCTTTGATTTTGCAATTTTCAAGCCTCATGTGTCAAGTCCACACTGCAAGGGCTGAGCAAAGAGCTCATCCAGTGTTAAGAAAGCCCTAAACTTAAGATTTTGAAATGAATTAAAATGACTATGAGGCATCACAATATCTCTTTCAGTATTTGACATCAACATTAAGAGTCAGAAAATCCAAGCTAAGAAAGACTGCTATCCAGTGAACAGGACATTTCATACCAAAAACTGCCAGTTAAACTTTTTGGTCTGGAATTAATTAAACTACTGTGAAAACTGTATTAAATTTTTTGAGTTGGTAGTGTCCATGTGTCTAAATAGTGTGCAGGTATGCGCGGTTGCTCCAGTCAGGTCAGACTCTTTGCAACCCTATGGACTATAGCCCTCCAGGCTCCTCTGTCCATGGGATTCTCCAGGCAAGAATACTGGAACGGGTTGCCATGCCCTACTCCAGGGGTTCGTCCCAATCCAGGGATCAAACCTGCGTCCCCTGTATGGCAGGGGGATTCTATATGCATTGAGCTACTGAGCGAACTCCATTATTTAGGATGCTTTTAATGGTTATATACTTTATTCTAAAAACTGCCTTCATATTATTCACTGTCCTTCAAACAACCAATAACACAAGGATCTCATTTAATGAAAAGAACAAAACTGACATATACAGATTATCTATCTGCCTTCCTGGTAAACAGCAGTTAATCACATTAGTATTACATATTATTAAAAGTTAATACACTATTGGAATTACATATCCTATACATTATAAAAGTCAACTTTAGTAAACATAATTACTCAGTGTTCTATTTCCTTTCTTTTTCAAAAAGAAGGTTTTAAGGCTACATTTGTGGCCATTTTTATACATTATAAGAGATGTGGCAAAATATGATTGGTGTATATCATTTAACTGTCATTCGGAAATAAAATATAATTTCTTATTTTAGGACACCATACTTAAGACTATTGACCATGTCCATTTAATTTCATGACTCACAAATGTTGACTTAAAACAATTCTTTTCTAGATTAAACCCAAATACACAGCAAGAACAGTTAATGCAAAATCAATGTTTTACAGCAAAAGTTTATTTAATCTTATTGCCAGGAAACAGCACCTACACTTTTAGAGAATTATTTCCAACTTTCCAAGCGGTTGAACCAAGCCATTAGGATAGAAAAAAACTTATTCCCTAGCTATGACTATACTAAAAAGAGATCAGAGCAGAATAAAGAGTATAAACCTCAATGCTTCTTCTTTTGCTAACCAGAGCTCTACTAAAAATCTATTAATCCAGCAATGCCTTAGATACAGATATCCACATTTTAAAATTCCTTTTAAACTGCAAATTCTATTTGGGCCAAAACTGACACCTAATCTCTGTAATAGAGATCAGGTTACAGAAGTCAACAAACTAGACCACACTTCTGTTTTTAAATTACCTATATTGGGGGCTTCCCTGGAGGCTCAGTGGAAAAGAATCTGCTGGCTAATGCAGGAGACACAGGTGTGATCCCTGAACTGTGAAGCTCCCACATACCTTGGCACAACTAAGCCTGGGCGCCACTACTGAAGCCTGCATGCCCTAGAGACCCCGCTCAGAAACAAGCGATGTCACTGCCGTGAGGAGCGTGAGCATCACAGCTAGAGAGGACCCCTGCTCACTGCAACTAGACAAAGGCCAGTGCAGAAACAAGGGGTCAGCGTAGCCAAAACTAATTCATTTTTTAAAAGCTCTTTTTAAAAAAATGCTTATATTTTATAATAAAAATTTGAAGGGAAAATATTTTATTCATTTGTGTCTATCTTTACTTGCATTTGTTTGCTCTCAAGGGAAGTCTCAAGTCAAATTCTGTGCAAAGACACATTATTTAACCTTCTGGAATCTCAGTTTCCTCATCTTTATGGATATAAAGATTACTGTATGCCTTGCCACTTTTTAGGATTATTATGAGGATCAAGTGATAGAATGCACTTGAAAGTTATTTGAAAAGTCTAGATCAGCCTAGAATTCTTTGATCTGATGGGAATGTTCTGTAGTTGTCTATCCTGTTGACCATGGCGGGCACTAGCCACATGTGGTTATTAAACACTTAGAGCTAGTACGAATGAAGAACTGATTTTTTTTAATTTATGTTGTTTTAATGACTTTTTCATAAATTTAATTAACTGAAATTTAAATAGCCACACGTAGTTTGTGAATACCATGTCAGACAGCACACTCTACAGTACTATTCACATGAATGAAACTATTATTTAATAAAATGAACTATCTCATGAATTTCTCCGGACACTTGAAGAGACTAAACAGAAGGGGAAGTAGTAAAGTCAAACTCAAATACTTATCACTGCTAGTATTCTTAACTGTAAACAGAAAAGCTCAATTCTGTTGTTACTAACCTAATGCTTTCATTTACATTCCTTTTTGGACTGGACCGAATGAATGGTATCTCATTCATCTTTGGAAGTAAGCAGGAGCACCATACGCTTTGGTTGAATGAATGAACTAGTTACTGGAGATATGAAATCTCCCACCTACTTGGGATATGGGAGCTATAGTAATTCACAGCCTTACTGTGATTAACTCAACGTGACAAATGGGCTTCTTCAAACAATGAGACAAATTGCATCTTTCACCCCAAAACAAACGGATTATGGAGTCATTCACTTGTGAATCAGAGTTATACAGAAACACCCAAGATATGTGTTAAGGCATGAAAAAGAACAGATTTTATTATAAGTTGTTTTTTTACTGATGGAGGACTATGACGTCTTTTTATTCTATTTTAACCTCAGTTCTAAAAACTCTTCCTTCCATGTAGTTTGTTCCACATCTTTCATTTATAATTTATCTACATATGGCTTTTCACAAAAATGTTTCACTACAGAAGTTAAAAATATAAAAGGTTGGCTTTTTTCAAGGTCTTAAACCTCAATTTAGCTCTTTCCTTCTAATA